ATGTTTCTATATGCCACCATTACACATTACTAACTTTTTGTTTCCTCTCTCCCGTAGTGTGTCCTCTCTCTCTCCCTGTACCTTTCTGTAGGTTGCTCTGGCCCTGGAACTCTATGTCTCTGACGAGCAGTCACCAGCCACATCGACCTGATCAGTGTTTGATTGTTGTGTCTTATTGCTTTTCTTCTTTTGTCTCTCCTCTATCCACTCACCCCAACCGGTCGAGGCAGAAGGCCGCCCACCAAGAGCCGGGGTCTGTCGGAGGTTTCTTCCGTTAAAGGGAGTTTTTCCTCCCCACTGTCACCAAGTGCTTGCTCAAGGGGGATTTGTTGGGTTTTCCCTATGTAATAATATTGATAACAGTAAGGTCTAGACCTTACTTTGTAAAGTGTCCTGAGATGACTTTTGTTGTGATTTGGCGCTTTACAAATAAAATTTGATTTGATTTTGATTTGATTTGATGATGGCTGGTGGATCCCAACAAGGAAAATCATGAAGAATAAAGCAACCGAGCAATACCCATTCTTCTTTCAAAGACTACAAGATAACATGTGCGTGTCATCTAAATAAATGTCATCATCATCAGTTTGCCTATATAGCTCGTTCGTCCTTATTCCTGTGGAGGTAATAGTTACCATATTATTTGGTGTAAAAATAGCCAGATGTTTAGGACAGAAGGCAAAGGTTTTGAATACTATTTTACTGGAGAACTTAATAAGCCTTAACAATATATAATAATATACCAGCATATTCTGCAGTGCTAGTGCATCTGCTTTGTTTTGTTTGTTTTGTAGTGATGAATTGTGCCATGATATAGGGCCCCTTTTCATTTTGTAAGATAATCTTCAAAATTAGTCCTTTGCACCTGAGCATGGCTTTTTAAGTTAACTAGTGATCCAGGGGCTCTTCTTAAAGTCATACTACAACTCCCCACTGTATACTCTGCTCTAATTTATGCAAGTAATTTCATTTACTGTCTCTGGACTTGATGTTCTCACTTTAGATTGAGTCTCATATCTTAAAGACTCTGCACACACATAGAGATGTTTACAGATGTTCTGGCTCATTAGACCCTGCTGAGGTTAAGGATGGGCTGAGCTACACCATGAATTACTTAAAGTCACCAGACTCAATAGGTGTTTTTCACAGCAAACATTTTGAGTTGTCACAGCAGAAAAAGCACAGGCATAGCTAACAACATTAATGATGGCTGAGCTCCATTAAGTATCCCACTAAACAATGCCACTCAGCAAGCATGCACAATACCATGATCCTGGAAATGGCTCACATAAATGGAATGCAGCCAAGGAGAGTGTGATCAATTACACATGTGCTTTTCATGCTACATCATGCCAAAATATCTGCTGTGAAAATGGCCTTACCTGAAATGAGTCCCTATTTACCAAATAGTGTATCACATACTACTATTCAGCATTGAATTTAAATATCCTAATTTTAAATGTGACCTTTATATGTGTACCTTAAAATGCCAATAATTGATCAAATAAGTAGTTTCTATAGCATAAACCCTAATGTCTGCTAAGAATCCCATATTGCAACGAGTCACACTTAATGGATGTAATAAATAACAGTGATGTAACTGTCCTTACTCCTTAGGAGAGCCCAGTTTATACAGTAGTCTGTCAGGGGGAGTGGATGTTTGAACAGGTCTAATTAGGCACAACTAAAATCACCTGGGTTTACCATGACTGCGCATGAGGCGACTCACAGCCTGAGTTGTAGATGTCACGCTAGGCTGCGTAACCAAAGAATAAAAAAGGCATGCTTCTACCTCTGGAAACAAAAATAATATAGAACCAGAATCAACTTTATTGGCCAGATGTGTCTAACACACGAGGAATTTGACTGTGGTACATATGCTCTCAATGTGTATGTACGTATCCCCCTGCAAGAGGCATATATTCCTATAGAGCACAGTTTGGTAAAACAAGTTCGGTATGACCTGATACAGTTTGTGACTTTCAGTGGCTGCCAATGCGTAGCCGCAAATTTAAAATGACTATTTTGTAGTTATTGTTACAAATTGTGACACAAATGGGTCACATTTCGCCGCCTAAGCCTCCTACTGTTTTACTTTGCTGCGGTGCTGCTGCCACTGCTCCTGCGAAGAAGCTAAAAGTATGATTACATGGCTTCAGAAGGACTTTGAGGAAATATTTGTTTGAACCGAGCTCCCTGCTGCGACCGCCACCACTCAGTGACTCGGTTCATCTGTCGACTGTCAACTGTGGGCCTGAAACACCTAAAACAGCCTGGAAGTTGGCGTTTGCTGTAGCTCTTGTCACAACTCAGCACCGCAACCTCTTCTAAAGTGCAGTGAGATAGTCTGCCTTCACTTCAATAAGGTAAGAATAAGCATTTTTATTAACTGAACTGTTGGTTTTCCTCCGCAGCAGATTCTTGGCATGTTGTTAAATTAAGGGTGGCTGTTAATTGCTGCTGATAAATCCTGCCACGAATTGAGCTTTAAAGTGAATGGCTGGCTTGTTGTGGCTGAGCTTATTTATCTTTGGGTTATGGTTTGACAGTGCATTATCTGGTTTGTATGTTGTTTATGCAGTGGTGAAATATAATATTAGAGTAGCCTATCATTTACAGTTTGGACTAATTTTATTTTTGCTTTATTGGTTGTTGCTCTTGTGGGGTTTTGGCGTGGTGGTTCAAGATCATTTAGATCTAATGTGTTTTTGCCTGCACTTGTCATGTTGTGATATACAGATACTACAAAATTAACACTACCCCCAAATATAGTACCCAGCCCTACTCGCATTTGAATATTGTGGGTGTTTTAGGATTGAGTTGGTTTTGTGAATGTTTTCCCTCAGGTTGTTGCTGCTGTTACCTTTTTAGTTCAACGCAGTGTTGGTCTCTAGTAGAGGGCAATGTTGTTTATTGGATTTATAGATGTAAGCATGCTGACAAGCTCAACATCTGTCTGCTGAGCCTCTCATGTCCACTTCAAGTCAGGACAGGAGTTTTCCTGTTTGAGACCTTGACTTCTCTCCCCAAGGGTTTACAGCTGAGATGTCAAGAGATCACTGCTTTGCTTCAGCAAGGTAAGAAGTTTCTGTTTGTGCTTACAGGCCTACTGTGAGAAAATGTTCTGTGATGTTGCTGATTGGTGATATGATATGGTCAACACTGCTGGTTGTTTTTATTTCCTTTGCAAATCTGCTTGATTGCTCGTTTCTGCACTATATACACTATTAGGTTCATGAGAACGAGAAGTTTTAACGCTTTTCAGAAATCTTTAAATGACGAAATATGACTTGTTCCACACTGTCACACTGGCGTGGATGGTTTATGTACTGATATCATGAGACAGATTTAGCTTCAATGAGAAATAGTCATGTTTTAGATCTTTTGGCATGAGCTCTTGTCACCATTACCGAAGACTTTGTTTTCCATTGTGCCTCTGTTAAAAAGAAAATGGCACAAATTAACGTTCAGAGGTGAGTTGCCCAACCGATGAGACATAATCACATTTAGGCTAGGCCACTCTCTTGTCCATCTGTTTTGTCTTGTGCTCCTCTCACTCAGGCTGTTATCAGTCAAAGCCCTGACAGCAGCTCTCTGCTTCCAGAGCTCATACGAGTCTTTGTCAGTCCACATCTCAGGATTCAGACAAGCCACTATTGGGCAAGGGTGCTTCCTAGCCTTCGCTTCTACTTGTGTGACAATAAGCGGTCTTATCTTCTTTAGTGATGTGAGCCTAGCTGAGTTGCTGATTAATAGACATGGTGTCATGTCACTGCTCTCCCCCCCCCCCCCAACTGTATTTCTTTCCTCCCCTGTCTTCTTTTCTC